TCATTTGATTGTTGTTTTTCCAAATTGGAACGAGGTCTTCGTGTTTGTGAGGCACAGGTTTGAAGGCTCGTTCCCAGCAGTCAATCGAGGTCAACCAATTTCAGCCATGTACACTCCCTGAAATGATAATGGAAGTGGACATCACAACCTGTTTGGTAGTCGGAAATGGTCATCCTAAGGGGTGGTCATCCTGAGGGGTGGTCATTCAAGGGGCCATGCCATCCACTTCCATGATTATTTCAGGAAGTGTGTGAACCTTAGGGCTGAGGCACAACTGCCGGCACTCGAGGACTCTCCGACGGACTACTTGAGGGAAATCAATGGAAGGGAAGGTTGGATTGGTCGATGACCGTGAAATACGGACCACGTGACGGAGCCCGGTGTGTTTCCTGGTGTTGCTTAAGGTGATGTGCATTTTCCCTCTTAGTGAAGGTTCTTTTTTCCGGGAAATAGGTTCTTTCTCCGGGCTTCCTGGACGGCAAATCCAAGAGTTTGAGAGCACCACATGGAACGAATCGGTCTTCAAGGATAGATCTTGTGGCCCAGAACAGCTGGCCCACAAAGTGCCCATGTGCGGAATGTTATTGTGGAGGCCAAGAGCACTTCTGCCACTTCGGCTGTTGTGGTCTTAGCGCTTGCTCGCTGGTTTGCACCTGGAGCTGAAGAATTTTGTGTAGTGCTTCTGTATTGGTGTTGCTCTAGAAGTGCAGAGTATACTGACAACGTCTAGAAGTTGCTGCAGCTAGAGCTCAATATTGCAGGAAGGGTGCTCAGTCAAATTCTGAGGTGCTACCGCTTTGGTCCTGTCACCTTCTTAGATGCCAGAACAGCACCAAACCCAAACCCATACAGAGATGACATGAGCTACAAGACAATGAAAACAAAAAGAACATTCACACCTGGTGGGTCGATTTCTTGCCACTTGCTCAGAGAAACCCTGACACGAAGTCATCGTGGACTGCTTGCGATTTGGACTGATCATCTCTCCAAAGAACTGCAGCCTCCGCCCCTGTTGCATGTTCCCATCTTCGAGCGTCCACCACTGCGGTGGCCTTATAAGGACGGCCCTAGCAAGCTTGCAGGAGGACAGGTGAAGCTGTGTGTTTGCCACGTGTTTGCGTGCTTGATGACTGAACTACATGGCCCTCGCAGGTACTTACGAGGCCCATGTAAAGAGGGGTGATCGGAATAGCTGCTGTTGACGGAAGAAATCCCGTACCGCTGCTGATTCGCTGTGGATGAGTTGTGGGTGAAAGCGATGCAGGATGGTATTTTCAGGTAGGTAGCCTATTGAAGAAAGAGGATGGAAGGAGCGCTGGCACCACCAGTGATTCCCCTTGCTCCTTGCTACTGCTCGCAGAGAATGGCTCAGGCCTGCTGTTCCAGGTGGCTTGAGCAGCTGTGCTCACAGGAGGGCAAAAAGAGAGATCTCCAAGGGCAAATGTTCTTTTCCACTTGGGCCTTGTTGGGCTTCGCTGGTGCTTCTTGCTGCACCCGGGCAGAGGCCCACATGGAACCTGAAAATGGACCTTTGGAAGACTAGCTTCCTCCAGCTGCACCAGTGGTTTTCGGGTTCCATGTGGGTCTCGTTGGCCTAGGGAGTACCTCCACTCCTCCCCCCGCACCGCGCCTCGCCTCGCGGGATCGGCCAGGACGGCGTGACGGATCAGAACGCTCGTGCTGTGATGGTGCGGATTGCAGTGGGGGAGCTCCGATCGGATCGCGATTTGCGGCCTTTGCCCTGGTTAGATGTCACGTCCAGGCCTGGACAGGCCTAGGTCACGTCACTTGGGGACTCCAACTGATCAATAAGATGTGTCTTTTCACGGTCACTGATAGACCTCTCCTTCCCTTTTTCGTTGATATTCTGAACTCAGCAAGGTCTGCCCCCCCCCCCGGTCTCCAGGTTTGGGTGGTGGTTTCAGATATTTCATGAGATGTCTATGTTCAACATGTACTTGAGGATGATTGATCCCACTGACGAATACTTTTCAAATCTTTTCAAGTCTTCATGCTTCAGCTCCTTGTTTGAAGCTTCACTTCTTTGGAGGCAGTTTGAAAACCTTCAGGGATTGGGTTGACCAACTTGGACCAGGGCGAAAACAGAGTTGACGAGTTCCATCGATTCCTCCTCCTATCGCCACCCGCCTACGCCTCCGCGCCCGCCGCGTCAGGATCAGTTGCAGGTGGCGGAAGCTCTCATGGGCCGCGGCGGCGTGCGGCTGCCCGGTGATTCTCGCACCGCACCCACAAGACGCAGCCCCAAGCAGGTTTCAGGTTTCAACAGCCTCCAGAACAAGGTGTTTTTGAGGTCCCCCTAAAAACTGAGGAGATGGATGATTTTAGGAGGGGCTTTGAAGCAGGAGCATGTCCACTGCCAAGAAGGATGGTTCACTACTCCGACTATTCCCTTCAATAGTAGAGATTTCTCAGCTCGCCCTCAGTGAAAACATTGTTGCCCAGGCATACGCACGAGGGAGGCCATCCATTTGGGGCCATACATGGCCATACCATGTTGGCTTTCACATAAAACTGAGTGTTGCTGCGCCTCGCAATCTAATAGCCTTGCTTCATTTGATTTGCAGGACCTGGATTACGCGAGCTCGTCAAAGTGGGGCGGACAGTTGTCGTGATCTTAGGATCAGCATTTGCGTGCTGTCGGAGGCCAACGCTGAATATTCCGATTATAGCATTCGTTCGGGTAGATTATGAGCAACTCAATGATTGGAATGAACTGGTGTATGGGGTGAAGTGCCCGCATGGACAATAGCCAAGCGTTGGGCAGGTTTGAACGTGGTTTGTGCCCATGTTGCCCAGGACAGGACTTGCAGCAGTTCTCATCGACTACTTAGCCAGCTTGGGTGCACCGGAAGCACTGGAAATCAGCACGGACAGACAGCTTCCCTCACATGGGCGCTTCCAAAGTCCAATGAAGACTTATACGTGGTGCAGGGTTGTCCTGAAACATATAGAACTGTAGAACCCATGATGAGAACCCCATAAAGAAGCAGGTTACACTCTTGAGTGGGGTTGGCAACCGACTGTTTCTATCGAAGCTCCGGAGCTCCTCTGAAAGACATCGGATGACAAAGGTTTCGGCGTGCCGTGCCAGCGGGGCTGGAGAGTGGTGGATGGCTTCGACTGGCGCTGAGCAAAGTCTCAACCAGGTGGGATACCTACAGGATTCAGGGATGTCGACTGAGAAAACTCCTGAGGCCCTAGGCTTGCTTCTGAGGGGTTCTTCCATTCCGGACGTGGTATAACCCTCGATTGGAGACAGATGGTCTTTACATGTCTTTACTATAGTACTTTTGGTTGTTTGAGTAACAGGGAGAATACCGACAAGTGTACGACCAACTGATGACCAACTGATATATGGTACTTGGCACGACCAACCGTCTATTTTTTCTCTCAAGTGGACGTCATTGGGAGTGAACATTCTTGAATGTATTCCAAATGAACCGGACTTCAAGAGGTGAGCCACCAAAACCCTACGCACGTCATGCGCAAAAAAGCCCCGAAGCGAGTCCTCAGCATTCCAGAAGCAACAGCCAACTTCCAAATATAGGTCAAAACCAGGCGGTTTTCCATGGATTTCACTGAAACCATGGGAGTGTCGGCTTGCACATCATTCAGAGTTGCAAATCTAGGTGGCATGGAGAAGTGAATCTCGATACAAGGTGAGGTTAATCTAAAGGCCCACTTCGAGAGCATTTGCCCAAGGTAGCAGCAGCCGCGAAGCAGAAGGCTCAGACCAAAACAGAATTGATCCCAAGCAGTCCTGGAAGTAGATCAAAAAGTATGGTGGCCTCTAAAGATCAAAGATGGCACCGACATCGGCCTAGACCTGCCTTGGAGCCCACTTGATTCCTCCAAGCAATTTGAAGGATGTGAGGAAAAAAAACAAATCTCTGACCATCCCGCTCACATTCGGACGTGGAATTTTTCTCGATTGTTGGAGTTCCTGTTGTGTTGGCAAGTCCTACGTATACTCAGGTGGAGGCGATTAGTTGCTGGTTGATACTATTGTTGTTCAATTATATTTGATTTTGGGGCGAGCCAGTGAAGTGCATTGCACTGAGGAAGGGAAGTCAGCCTTGGCCATTGCCCGTTCCTTGCAGCCCTGTGCTGGGCAGCCCATTCCTTTTGGGCGGGTGAAAGCGGGCAAAACCGGACTCCAGTTGATGATGTTCCAATTTAAGTGTTTTGTAAACCTTTTTTTGAGGCCAACCTAGAAGCTAAGTGGATTGCTCTTTTCAAGATAAAAACCTTGCCAGAAGCTCAGCGCAGCTAGCTCAGCGTTCGCATCGTTCTTTCGAGCCATCCATGCAAGCCATCCACAATCACCGTGTTTCTTTGGGAGGGTTGGTGTTGTTCGGTGTTTAGGAGGGTTGTTGTTCTCTTCGCATGTCATGTGATGAGTTGAACATATCAATTGACACATCCAGCCACAGCCTGAGACTTCTCAGACAAGCGTTAGGCTTTGGAGTTCATTTTTTGGAGAAGATGCAATCCAGCCTCAGAACAATCTTCATATCATGTCATATCAAGTTTACAGCTTAGGCTCCAGAACCGGACCGCGAGTAGAGAGTTGCACACACTAGTATCTACTTTGCTTTCTCTTCTTTGCTTAGTGCCTTTCGGCAGCACCATCCGACAGGTTTGCTTTGAGAGCTTCAATGTGCTTCAATTGGTGACCTTGCAATTGCTCGTGTGAACACAGGTGAATCCCTCTTCCTCAAACAACTCCAGATCCTTCCTGGTTTGATCAGCCTTGGCTGAGTCATCCTCACACTTCTGCATTGTAGCAGCTGTTTTGGGGAGCTGTCTCCCAGAACTCTGCGCCCCCACCTTTCCCTTCTGCTCCCTTCCTTCTGCTTAGGATCCGATCCTTCAACTGGGCTGCTGGGACGGGAACCTCGGACCATCTCAGACCGGAAGCCACTTGTTCCAAGTCATGCCCCGTCCGGACATGTCCGGACACCACGGACTCGGTCGGACGAGCCCGGTCGTTGGATGCGCGCTTTCTGATGGGTCTTGAACTGGTCTTGAAGCCAGGGAGGGTGTGGTCAGTGTGATGCTTTTGGTTTTGACAAGCTTTGTGAATGGAAGCAAGGGTTTGGCATATCTCTCTGGACATGTGCAGGAAAATTGGAGTTCCTCCAGCCTGGTCGCAAGTAACCGACATTACAAAAAGATTACCTAGCATCTTGGAGAAACAAGGTGATGCTGGTTGAGGTCCACACGTCGAGTCACGTCATAAAATAAATTTCAGAAAACCATGTGTTGGTGGAGTCAGACCCAGCCATCAGATGCCACAAGTCGTTGTCATCATCACGATCATCATATGTTTAAGATATATATCATTTCTTGATGCCAGCGAACACTTGTGGAGGGAGGGGACCGATATCATCATGAACCTAGGGTCTATCCCACTACCAGTAACAGTTGACGTTTAAAAAATTACACCACCGTAGACCCCAAACAGGTTAGACAACAACGAAGCATTCCCAACGCCACTTTTTGAGACATCAACAAGAAGGGAGACAAGACGGACACAATGACAGACAAGAAGGGAGACAAAAGGAAACAGAGGGAGACAAAACGGACACAATGACCACTGACCACCAAGAAGGGAGACAAGACCGGAGAAAAAGGGAGACAGAAGGGAGACAAGACGCACACAATCACAATGACCAACAAGAAGGGAGACAAGAAGGGATACAAAAGGAAACAGAAGGGAGACATGACGGACACCATGATCAACAAGAAGGGACACAAGAAGGGAGACTAAAGGAAACAGAAAGGAGACAAGACGGACACAGTGACCAACAAGAAGGGAGACAAGACCGGAGACAAAGGGAGACAGAAGGGAGACAAGGCGGACACAATGACCAACAAGAAGCGAGACAAGAAGGAAGAAAAGGGAACAGAAGGGAGACAAGACGGACACAGTGACCAAGAACGGAGACAAGACCGGAGACAAAGGGAGACAGAAGGGAGACAAGGCGGACACAATGACCAACCAGGATGGGAGACAAGAAGGGAGGCAAAAAAGAAAGGAGACAAGACGGACACAATGACAAACAAGAACGGAGACAAGAAGGGAGACAAAAGGAAACAGAGGGAGACAAAAGGAACACAAGAAGGGAGAAGACCGGAGACAAGAAGGAAGACAAGGCGGGCACAATGACCTTGCCAACAAGAAGGGAGACAAGAAGGGAGACAAAAGGAAACAGAAGGGAGACAAGACGGACACAGTGACCAACAACAAGGGGGACAAGACTGGAGACAAAAAGGAGCAGAAGGGAGACAAGGCGGAAACAATGACCAACAAGAAGGGAGACAAGAAGGAAGATTATACCAGCGTAGACCCCAAACAGAGCAATGTTCAAAAATGAGATCTCCGAACAATATGGCCAGCAGCATTTCCCAGAGGAAGAAAACTATAGTCCACCATGTAGACGCACATACAAGATTCAAAGGGAAAGCATTAAAATTCTGTTTTTCATTGACTTTACAATGGGACGCCGTACAAGGGCTAAAACATGAAATTTATGGATCCAGGTTGTGACATATGTTGCCCCCCCCTTGTAAACACGAATGCGCAGACCCAATCAAAATGAAGATTTCCTCAGAGCACGGACACTGCGCTTGGCTTTTTCCTTCCTACGCAGTTGCCTTCTTTGGCTTAGCCATGTACTGCATTGACCTGTGTTTGCCATAGGTCGCAACACTTGACGTAAGAGTGTGTGGTTGCTTCGTTGATCATCCGCGCGAAAGTAGCTGCCAACCTAAACAGCAAATCGAGCAATGCAACGCTTGTGGCGAAAATATGTGAAAATAGTGTATTTCGATGCAGCCAATGCAGCTTTCAAACTCGAAACACCAGAAATACAACAGAGCAACGACCTTGCGCCCGTGGGAAACAAGTAGAAGACAAGTGAGCTTACTGGGGGCCAAGTCGAGACATGCGGGAGACAAGTGTGAAATCATGCGGCCACAGCACTCAGAGCATCCAGAGCTTACCGGGAGACAAGTGGGAGACAAGTGTGAAATCATGCGGCCAGAGCACTCAGAGCATCCAGAGCTTACTGGGAGACCACTTGTCTCCCACTAAGCTCTGGATGCTCTGAGTGCGCTGGCCGCATGATTTTATACTTGTCTCTGATTTGTCTCCCAGTAACCTCTTGGATGCTCTCAGTGCTCTGGCCGCATGATTTCATACTTGTCTTCCATTTGTCTCCCATTTGTCTCCCACTTGTCTCCCAGTAAGCTCTGGATGCTCTGAGTGCTCTGGCCGCATGATTTCAGACTTGTCTCCCACTTGTCTCCCAGTAAGCTCTGGATGCTCTATAGTGCTCTGGCCGCATGATTTCACACTTGTCTGCCATTTGTCTCCCATTTGTTTCCCACTGGGAGACAAGTGGGAGACAAGTGTGAAATCATGCGGCCAGAGCACTCAGAGCATCCAGAGCTTACTCGGAGACAAGTGGGAGACAAATGGGAGACAAGTGTGAAATCATGCGGCCAAGCACTCAGAGCATCCAGAGCTTACTGGGAGACAAGTGGGACACAAATGGGAGACAAGCCCGAAATCATGCGGCCAGAGCACTGAGAGCATCCAGAGCTTACTGGGAGACAACTGGGAGACAAGTGGGAGACAAATGGGAGACAAGTATAAAATCATGCGGCCAGAGCACTGAGAGCATCCAGAGCTTACTGGGAGACAAGTGGGAGACGAGGGTGAAATCATGCGGCCAGGAACACAAGCCCGGAGACAAACTCAAAATCATCCGGCCCGAGCACGCACCCCTTTAAAAAGGAGTAGGAACCCCTCACAGGTAAACCTGTTTGGGGAACAAAGGGAAACAGAAGGGAGACAAAACGGACGCAGTGACCACCAAAAAGGGAGACAAGACCGGAGACAGAAGGAAGACAAGGCGGACACAATGACCAACAACAAGCAAGACAAAAGAGAACAGAAGGCAGACAAGACGGACGCAGTGACCACCAAAAAGGGAAACAAGACCGGAGACAAAGAGAGACAAGAAGGGAGACAAGCGGACACAACGACCAACAAGAAGGGAGACAAAAAGGGAGACAAAAGACAACAGAAGGGAGACAAGACCGGAGACAAAGACAGAATGAAGGAAGACAAGGCGGGAACAATGTGACCAACAAGAAGGGAGACAAGAAGGGAGACAAGACGAACGCAGTGACCACCAAAAGGGGAGAGACAAGAAGGGAGACAAGGCGGACACAACGACCAACAAGAAGGGAGAAAAGAAGGGAGACGCGGACACAATGACCAACAAGAAGGGAGACAAGAAGAGAGATAAAAGGAAACAGAAGGGAGACAAGGCAGATACAGTGACCAACAAGAAGGAGACAAGACCGGAGACAAAGGGAGACAGACGACAGAACAGAAACAAGGAAATGCTGCATGGCCAGCGGAAAAGGGCCAGCAGTGGCAGAAAGGGCGGACGCATCTTAAAGAAGAATTGAGGACCACTAACAATAAACTGTTTCGGGAATGAATAGAAATGCTGCTTCGCCAGCGAAAAAGGGCGGACACCACCAGTGACAGACGTGGGAGACAAATGATAGAAATGCTACATGGCCAGCGGAATAGGGCGGACACCAGCAGTGACACAAAGGACGGACACATCTTAAGAAAGAGTTGAGAACCCCTAACAGTAAACTGTCTGGGGAATGATCACGATTTTTGAGAAAGGCCTGCATCATCCACTGGGCCCTGGTAGTGGGGTATGCGCAACATGAATCATGAGCTAGGAGGGCGCCGACTTGTTTGCTAGGCCAGTCCAGTCTCCACAGGCAGGGCGGAATACCCAGCAGAGTGCGGAATGGTTGCGGGTGGAATGGATCTTGGGGGGGGACACGGGAATGACCCACTACGGGTTCTAGGCTCACTTCCTTGCTAAAGAGGTGCTTTTCATGGTTTTCTTTCACGAGTCTTGGCTCAAACGGGCTTCAGGGTTTAGGGTTGCAGAGAAGGAACTGATACTGCAGGTGCTAACTCAAGTCTTTCTTGTTTGCTTCATCGCTTGGCGCAAAAACGCACGCATTTTTGAACAGCCACGGCCAGGTGAAGGGATCGAGGCGTGGGGAAGATCTTGAAAACCTGAGACCTGCGCTTTGGCTTCGGTGTGTCTTAAATAGACTCTACAAAGACCCTCTGAAAGAAAACAATTAGACCCGTCGACCCATTTCGTTGGAGATGCCCCTCTGAAAATACACACCCTGGCTGTGCTGGGGTGCTGACATGCAGCTAGTTCGGCTTGCGCAGCCGAGAGAGCAGCAGCTCCTCGCATGCTCTCGGGAAGGAACCCGGGTCAGTGCCCCGCAGTTTGGAGAGGAAGCACGCAACGAATTGCCGTGCACGGGACAGCGTTGAGGGGTGTGGCAAGCTTCGTGAGTGTTCCGTTTTACTTCAGACTATTCACTTCATCCACGTTTTGTTGTTTTGCAAGCGCACGGGGTGGTCGAGCCATGGGTAAAGGCAAGGGCAAAGGCGGCTATCCATGGTGGCAGCAACCAGCGCAGCCCATTAGTCATTTTTGGCTTTGGGAACCTGATCGAATCATTTGCTCTCTTGTTTTTAGCTTCTGAATCATGCACTTTGTAAGGTTAAGCTTAAGCGGTAGACTCCATGATCTTGAGTAGCCTCCGCATGTCATGCGTATACATGTATCATCATGTACCACATGTCACGGCATATCAAGCCAAGGCATATCAAGCCGAAGGATGGGGGAAACCATGATGGAGGCCGATGTTCGTTGGGGCTCCGGGCCTGGGAGCATCACCTCTGAGAATAGAACTGGGGACTCGCGTGGGTGCAACCGGTTTCGAGAACCACCGGTTTCGAAGGACCACAGACCTGGATCAAACAGGCCTGTGATCAAGTTCAAACAGGCAGAAATGTGTGTGGCATAGTTGGAAGATCCAGGTATCTTGGTTTTATCTTGTTTTATCCCTTGGGTGGTGGCATCCTGTTCCTGTTCCGCTTCGATTGATGATGATGTGTGTTGAATGTCTCACGTTGTGTTCAGGAGCAAGCTTCTTGGACGTGCCTTCGCCTCTGTCTTAGGGGTTCCGCTTTGCCAATGAATGGCTTTGCCCCATTCAAAGCAGGGGTTCATGTTTGGGCTTTTTGGATGTGAGAATCGCTTCTTTTGGGGCGTTGCGTGGGTCGGGGCGTGACCAGGAGGTTGGCAAGATGATCCTTGTCTTCAACTGCCGCACGGACCGAGACGCGAGATGCACGTGGAAATATTCACACTGAGAAGAAAGCTGAGGACCACTGGAAGACTGTGAGCTCGGGGCCCCTCTCTGGGCTGCAAAAGAAGTTGCAAGAGCTTGAGGGTAGGCAGCCTGACGTGGGGATGGAGAGCCTCGCTTGGGGAAATGTGGAAATATCATGAAATCTCGTGGTAAGACTAGCTGTTACTAAGGAGCCGGAATATCCACGTTCCACATCAAACAGGGAGCCTAGGAGCTACTGGGAGTTTCCCTACCCCTTGCTAGTAGCTATTTTCACATGTGTTCACGGCTTTTGCCGGGTCGCTTTAGCAAACCCCAAGCGAAGCCGGACGCCTCACAAGCTACTTCTTCAAGTTGCAACTGTTAAGTCAACGTGACATCTTGTGCGAGCTTGATCACGAATGATCACGGCAATTCTGTTCAATATGTGAGGTCAAGGTGATGAAGCGCAGGCAGTATCACTTAGTTCTACCAATCGCTTCATAACGCTTCCCCGCAGGCAGTATCCTTGCTACAAGGATCTTATGGGCGGTGCCTGGGAGATCGAGCGCCTTGTCCGATGTGAAACGGAATGTGGCGGAGGAACCCGGTGGGGAATCTCCATCTCCATCCGTGAACGTCGTGAACACAACTTGATCCAGAAAGTTCTAGAAACTGAAACGAAGGGAACTCAATGGAGTTCTACAGAGTTTTGCTTTGTACCTGATGTTGCTTCTCTCACTTTGAGGGAGCACCTATGACCGTCACCCGTGTTGTATCCATTCTTTTACACCAGCAAGCGATACGTACTAAGGAAGAGGTCGATGAGCGTATTTTTCGACCGCATCTTGGTTTGAAATGCTTCTCCAAAATCTCCAAGTCTGACAGAGTTCCCGTTTCAGAAAGAGCCGTTTTTGACCATGCCAAAAACCCAAGTGGGACTGCATTCGTCAGCTCCCCTCAACTCGTGTCCCGTCTTGGGACCCTTGTGAAACCAATGCCCCTCCACCCCTTCGTTGGTTCTTCTGGACAAATCCCAAAGAAGGAACCAGGAGCCACCCGCGCCACGCGCCTGCGCCTTGCGCTGAGCAGCTGCCAGCGCCGAGGTGTGCAGGGCGACGCTTATGCTCCTCCATCGTGGATCCGAGTCCGCGTTCCCATGTCGGCAGCTGCTTGGTGCCACCAGAGATCCGGTGATGGGACCTGGAAGGACATCAGAATAGAACAGAAAACATTCCTGTGTCATGGCCAACTCAATTATTTAATTAGGTCAACCCAAATTCAAAGGGTCAATTCGATCAGATGTTATGGTTCACATCCCGCATGCATTTTCACATCGCCAGGGGTTTTCTTCACATCCCATGGTAGAATACTGAACTTTTGGAGGAGAGTACATCGCAATGCTGCTCCCTTGGCGGGTGAAACCGCCGGACCACCGCACCAACGTCCGAACCGTTGCTCCGCCGGACCACCTCCTTCTCGGATTCCATGCGGATCTTCCCAAGCCGGGGCCGACTGGACAGGCTGGGTTTCCGCTGGACTATGTGACCCAGACGCGCGTGCGGAACATCGCCCTCTGCGACTACGTCACGCGCGTTCTCTCCGATCGACTGCGAGGGGGCGGTGGTACGGACTGGTGCCTTGGGACAGGAGGTGGAAGTGGAAGACGGGCGCCATGGAAGACTGTGCAAGGAAGTTGCAGCAGTGGAAACACAGGAAAACCAATCTGGACCATCAACACTGGCACTCGCTAAACCAACAAAGCAACACCAAGGAAAAACAGAACGACTCCAGCAAAAGGATCCATGTGTTCTAACTGATCTTCTTGAAGGTTGCTTGGGTGCAGGAGCTTTGAAGGAAGAGGGCTGGGCTATGGGAGTGAAAGATTCTGGCCGACCAGCAACGCAAAGACTGGTGTGATTAAAACCTTGAGACCCCGGACAAATTAGAAGTTAGAGGCAATAGACATCCTTGACATCCTCATAAGATTCTGGGATGTCTATTCTATCCAGAAGATATGCCGCGGTTACCTTCGTTCTGTCCTTCGAGTTGTCTTCCACACCGGACCCCGACATTGGGAGTGCCACAGAGCAGAGCGGCATCCCTGATGAACATTGGTCACACACCAAGCGGGTTGTTCCAAAGGTCTAAATGGATTGGGAAGAAGATCCTTTCTCAAGAGATACGGAGAGGCCCTCCTTTGTATGCTTTGGGGCTTTGGGGTGCGGCAGCGCGGTTTGGTGGAGTCCTCTCAGGACTCAGACTGTCCAGGGCGGCGGCTGGGCTAGCAGCAAAGGTGGCGATCTACAGATCGACACATGGCCCAAAGAGGGTCGTTGAGTTTTTGCGATGTCGTTGTGCAGACCAAGGGGTGGTGATGTTTGAGCATGCTTTGGAATCCTTCTTGGCAGTTGTCATTCTGGTTATTCCCTTGTGTTTTCATGGGAATGGAGCTTTCTGACTGGGTGTGCTTGATGCCGCTACAATCACCACCGCCGTCGCCACCGCCGCCGCCTCCACGACGACCATAGCCGCGACGACCACGACTATCGGGTGGGGTGGCAAGTGTCAAACTCACAGCGCCAACATGCGGCCGGCAAGCTGTCAAGCAATGCCACGGGTCTGCGACCAGGCTGTTTTGGTCTCACAGCACGTGCATCACCAAAGAGGAAAGCAAGTGGCAGTCCTCAAAAAGCAAGTGGCATTTAATTAAGTGTTCAAGCTTGGAACATAGAGGCGTGCATTTCCAGACCATACCCGCGCACAAGGGACCTTGGGCTTTCTAGATTGGAACACAGATGGGGCCTTTGCTGCTCGAAAAAAAGCCCACGACTCACGACGAAAACGCGTTAGTTTTTCAGAGTCAGCTTTGAAGGTGCCGATGTTCGAAACGCTGGAGCACGGAAGGTCAGGATGGTCAGGAAGTGCTCCGAGCTCCAAAGCGACGCGAAGGTTTGAAGCCGCCAAGCTGTGAGAAGCCGACCGAAGGGTTTTCAGCTGCGAGAAGCTGCCAGGCTGCGGGGCAACTCCCCGGCTGCGGAGCCTCCCTGGGTCCCTGCATTGACCTCCCATGGATGGGTCATTCCGCACGGCGGGAGCGTTGCACTAGCAACTGAGGCGGCATCCCTGGCATGAAAAAGATTATAGAGCATGTTGCCGCATCAATTCACTTGTAGGGTTGGGTGCGCTATGGGCTTAAGGCTTTTGTACCTGAGAATCTCCAACTTCTCGCGAGACTGCCCCTTTGAGAACCCTTTGCGTGAGGTTTGTTTGCGAGACCCCCTTCGCAAACCTCCCCTGAGCGCATGCCTACAGCACCAAAAAGTGCCCTTAGTATTCGCGCCAGGGCTCCCAAACACCTGTGGTTCCCAGCGCCGGACTTTTTGGAACTTGGGTTCCGAATCTTTCGAACGACTACCCAGACGAGCTCTTTGCTGGTGGCGGCAGCTTTGTTTGGCCGAAGGGTCGGCTACGGTGGGCAGTTCTGACCTTTATTCTGCGCGAACCATTGTTTTGGTGTGCACGTTGTGTGTGTGTGTTGCTGTTTTTGTGTGTTTGCCGTTGCTTGGCCTT